GACAAAAGAGTGGTCAGGGATCTCCTTTTAGTCCCCGTTCTGTCTCTGTGTCAGTATTACTGAAGAAATAACTTAGAAGAAGGATTTATTTAGTTTTGGTGACTTGATTTCACTGTCAACTAGTCTCATCACTTTAAGCCTGTGAGAGGCAGAGCATTATGTGAAGGAGTGAGAGCTAAAGCAAAGCTGCTTGCCTCCTTCCCACCAGGAAACATAGCTATAAAAGAATGGCCAAGGCCCCACTACCCCTTCAAATGCAGAGCCCCAATGATCTGACTCATTTCAACCAAGCTAGCAACTTCTGAACTTTACCCCCTCTCCCAATAGCTCCAGCAATGAGAAACCAAGTTTCCATTAAAGTGAGATTTGAGGAAATGTATGGGGTCCAAATCATAATAAGAAAGAAAAGCGATTTTCAGTAAGAAATATTATTACTGTATGGGAATTGTAAGGAAAAATGATTTTTATAATTTTTTAAAATTTAATTTTGACAATTTCTTACATGTATATAAAACATCCTGGATAGTCTAGCTCCTTAACTTCGTCTCACACCCCAACTCTACCAATAACACTTCATTCTTGCCTGTCTTTCTCCCAGATTCTCAAGTTTGAGTTTTGATGAATGGTACATGTAGTTTAACAAAGGGCACATGTGTAGCACTTGGATTGGGGTACTGTCTATGGAACCTAGTTTAGTCACTTGTGGGTATACACCTAAAATCACTGACTCCCATTTTTTTTCTAAATCAATCAGATGAAACAGTTCAGAGATGAGGGCCACAGTTCCCTGAGAGTTTAATCCTTTCAGGTCTGGATGTGGATGGCCCATTCTTGATAGACTCAGTGCAGACAACTGTAGATGTTGATAGTTTGTTATTGTAATGACTCTAAATAGGCCAGAAGATATTTCACAGCCATGATTACTATATTTCAGCTCTTAGAATCTTTGTGCCCTTTCATCCACATGTTCCTTGAACTTTTGAGGGATGGTGTAAATGTCTTGCTTAATGATGAGCACACCCTAATAAATCTCTACATTCATCATAGTTTACTGGAAAAGAGAGGTATCTCTGATTAATGCTGACAATTTTAATTATGTAAAATATGAACAAAAATATTTAGAAGATAGTTCAATGTTATGTCAATTTATCTTACTAACAGAATTAATTCCCCCCTCCCTAGATCTTATGAAACCCCTGCCATACATTTTTGAATAAGTTTACAATTACAGGTGTGGAGTCTGTGTAGTTGAGTTTCTACCTTGTAAATCTGTGCAGAGATATTTAGGCCATCTGTGGAATGAATATATCTGAATACGAGGTTTTCACAGCAGAATTTCTGGTGTTTTCCTGAATAAGATAAAGATGACTAATTTCATTAAATACCTTTTCTTTTTTTTTTTTTTTTGGTTTTTCGAGACAGGGTTTCTCTGTGTAGCTTTGCGCCTTTCCTGGGACTCACTTGGTAGTCCAGGCTGGCCTCGAACTCACAGAGATCCACCTGGCTCTGCCTCCCGAGTGCTGGGATTAAAGGCATGCGCCACCACCGCCCGGCTTCATTAAATACCTTTTCTACTTAAAACGTGTAGTACTCTCTTCTCAGACAGGCCTGTTCAATTACTCATTTCTTTCATCAAATGATTTGCTATTTTGGGGAAAATATGTATAAATTCACAACTGAACAAGACAGCAGATGATGACTATGAATCTTGATTAGGAGAGAGTCTACAAATTGATCTTTTGTGCCATATTGAATCTGTAGTAGGATGAAACTTATAGGTAATAATTAGAAGATCCTGGAATAGGTCAAAAATTTAACTATGCTGTTACTTATTTAAAGCTTTTTGAAAATTAGTAAATATATTAATCAATGTTGTGAGTAACCTGAATCAAGACTGTGACGGACCAACCATCACTGCTGATTGGCCAAGACCTACATCTGGAAATGTGTAAGATTCAAATGGGGCTGCTTTAAGTACTGACTACCTCTGCCGATCATGCACTTTAAGGAATATTAGGTTTGTTTTGAGGAATCACCTATAAAAGAGACAAGAAAAATTCATCTGTGTCCACATGAGAAGGAAGATCAGCTAAGAGGCAGAAGAATGTGTCTATAAGGCTATAATATCCCTACTTTAAACCATGTCTCCTTTTGTTACCCTTTAAAAAGAATTCTCAGTGTGCTAATTTAATTTTTTTTAATTAAGAAAATTTTTTCATTCATTTTATACACCAAAGATCCCCCTCTTCCCTCCCTCCACTCCCCCCCAGCCTCCCCCTCAGAACTGACCTCCACTCCCTCCCCACAAGAAGGCAAGGCCTCCCATGAGGAGGTACATTCAATAGAGGCAAGTTCAAGCCCCTCAGCCTGCCTCAAGGCTGCAAGAGGTGTCCCATAATCGTAGTGGGCTCCAAAAAACCCACTCGTGCACCAGGGATGGATTCTAACTAATTTAATTTCTTGATTTCTCATGAAAAGTAAAATTATCAAATTTTATAGAAGAACACTCAAGAGAAAAAGAATTTAAATTTATAAATCATGTATCAAATGTGTGTGTGCATGAGTAAGGAAGCTATGAGATTTGTTTATTTGGGCATGTATTGGAATTCTTTTAACATACTTTATGAGGGTCTCTGAACTAGAATTATACTTCATAGAAAAATTAATACTATTCTGATATTAAAATATTTATTAATTATAAATAAGAACATGAAGTGGGAAAATTTAATGAAACATTTCATATAAACTTATTAATACAATGAACAATATAGCATTTCAATATGAAGGTATAAAAATAGTTCACTGTTATGTAATCACATTATATTTCAGTTCTGATTCAAATTATAAACCAGTTATCATATTGGATATTAACAAATATCCCTGACCCACTTTTCTGGTGACCTGTCAGGTATAACTTGATTTCATGAAGAAAGAATTCTTCACATACCTCAGCAGTCTGAATCCTATTTGTCTCCTTCTCCAGACACTCTCTAGACATGTTATTGTAATTAATAGAACATAATTTCCTGATCAAGTGGTTTATCTCTGATAGAAGTGTTTTTCTATCTGTTTGATTTTTTTTTATTGCAAGTGAAACCTTGTGATTTTCCACAAATCAAAAATGGACGTCTACATAATGAAGAGAGATACAGACCCTACTTTCCAGTATCTATAGGCAAGTTGTTCTACTATCGCTGCAATGATGGATTTTTGGCTCCTTCGAGGAATTACTTGGGCTACATTCGATGCACTGTTCAAGGCTGGGAGCCTGCAGTTCCGTGCCTCAGTAAGTCAATGTCTGCATTAGATCACGTTTAATTCTATGGAAGAGTGGAAAGAGAAGAGCACATACATAATTACAGTTAAGTCCATGATGACAAAAATAAGACCAACAAGAGCTTATGAGCAAAAAAGACTAGTTTCTGTCTTTTGTGAGCAGCTCTTCATGAAATGAACACGGAAAATAGGACTATGAGAAGCCTTTATTGCTTCCATATTTTATTTATAAAAACTAAAAATAAATGCTACTTTTTAAAACATTAGGTTTTGTTTTTGAATGCCACATATATTCATTTATAGTTTTTTAAAAAAATTAATGAATGTTTTTTTTTTTAATTTAACATTTATGGTATATTAATTGTCCTAGGGCAATGTGTTTTCCATGAAGTGGAGAATGGGGAATCTCCATACAGGCAAATACCATATAGTCAGGGCGAGTCTGCAGAAGTCAAGTGTTACCCTGGCTACAGTCTTCCAAATGGTCAAGACACAGTTACATGTACAGAGAACGGCTGGTCACCTCAACCCAAATGCATCCGTGTCAGTAAGTAAACGGTTCTGAAATCACAAGATGCTCTTGACTCCCCACCCCATCTATATTACCTGTGGCAAAATACTTCTTTTCAAGTGTGTATAAGTGAATACTGATGATTCTTGGTAAGTATATAGAAAAATAAACACACCTAGTAGACATTACAACAAAATATTGACTAAACTTTAGAGTACTATAAACTTTGAAATCACTTTGTTATTTCACTCAAAACAATTATAAAATATAGTTTAAAATTAAATAAATATGATAATAGCTACACCCATCATTCATATATTCAAGTAGTAATATGCCATTTTAAAGCTCTGCTAATTGTCTCTGAATCCTTTGTGATGTGTAACTGGAAAGGGAATTCTAGGACATTGTGTGTCTGGTTTTCATGTTTTTTCCCAATCTCTGTAATAATGTTTGTATTGATGATTACTTCTTGTTCTTTGTTCTTGAAAATGACTGTGTGATGCCACACTTAATTTTCAGAATAAAAGTCTATAAAATATTACAACATAATAGTGCTGATTAAAATTCCTTTCCTTGGGCTGAAGAGATAGCTCAGAGGTTAAGAGTACTGGCTGTTCTTCCTTAAGTCCTGAGTTCAATTTCCAGCAACCACATGGTGCCTTACAACCACCTGTAATGAGATCTGGTGCCCTCTTCTGGTGTGTAGGCATGCATGCAGGCAGAACACTGTATACATAACATATAAATAAATATTTAAAAATTCCTTTCATTATCATTTGGGTTTTAAAAATATTATCCTAAGTCAATTTGCAGACAATAAATTTAATTTTTCAAATGCATTTTTAATTCACACATTTGTAATTAGTTTACTGTAATATTAAAGAACTCTAAAAATCAGTCTGAGTTATATGTATTCTTTGTTTACTTCAGATTGCCAACTTTTAAATAACCTTGATAAGATTTGAATGACAATATCTTGAATTTTCAGAACAATTTTGAAATAATCACATAATCATACTGTCTTCTTATTTATGAATGTAATGTATATTTAAAAATTTTAATCTGTTTTTGAAATCAGTGATTTAAATTTCTGTATGATTAATATTATTGACCTGCTTAAAATTTGTGCTAAGTTTCTTGTGCCCAGATCGTGGCCCCCAGAGAGACCACCAAAGACGAGCATCCTGGAATGCAAAAGCAAGGTTTAATTTGGAATATCCAAAAGCATATCCAAAAGCAATACAAGCCTAGGCAGGGACTTTGTCCAATACATCCAAGGCAGTGGAGGCTGGAGGAAGTGCCCACCTGTCTGCAAGCTCAGTTTTTAAAGGCAAAAGCCACAAGGTTACATCATTTAGGGGTGCTAGTATGGGTACAATTCTGATTGGCTCACTACTAAGGCCTTTCTAGAAATCATGGCTTAATCTTACTTCTAAAGGGGTGGTTGCCCGCCACCATTTCTCAATGTCCTCAGGTGGGGACATTTCTGTGGTCAGTTACTCTGGAAACCAGCTGTTAGTTATTTGGCGGCACTCTTACCCTGCGAGGAAATGTCATGAAACAGGACAGAATCTACTAACAAGAGTTTAAGATAAGAGAAAAGGACAGTGCTCGGGCCTGTTAAAGAGACGCATGCATGGAGAAGAAGGAAGCTGGGAATATGGCGCCAGTTTATAAAGGTTGGGTTGCGCAGGCATACACAGGTCCATATGGCTACTCCACGAATGTGCATAGATCACATGGTTGCCTTGTGTGCTCTTACGCAATCATGCAAAGCCACGGGTTCCTGGTCATGCAAGACGCCTTGTCCCGGAAATGGTTATTTTGACCTAGAACTGGCTAAGCAAAAGTGTCTAGGTCCGCCAGACATGCCCAACCATCAGAGTGTGTTGTGAATCTATCACCAGGGAGAGGACATTCCATACTCTGGCAGTCATTACCTCATAACTACCTTGTGACTCTGTACTTTTACACTTTCTGGTTTCTGGAATCCAAACTGACTGGTTTCAGTAACTCATGGCCTATTCCTAAAAGGAGAAATCTTAGGCCTTAGTTTTAGGGTAAAAGCATTTTGGTCTTATTTCTAAGATGGCTCATTTTGGTCTCACAAGTTCTTATTTGATAGCCTTTCCATCATGCTGGTTTTGTTCATATTTGTTAATTGTGCTGATCCATATGTACATACTTCTTTTTCATATTTCTGTCTTTTTATTTTTTTAAGTCCTATCCATGTAAATTGCTTTAGCTTTCTTTCTCCAAGTAACTCAAAAAGATCTTAAAACAACTGTTGTGCCCAGATCGTGGCCCCCAGAGAGACTACCAAAGACGAGCATGCCGGAATGCAAAAGCAAGGTTTAATTTGGAATATCCAAAAGCATATCCAAAAGCAATACAAGCCTAGGCAGGGACTTCGTCCAATACATCCAAGGCAGTGGAAGCTGGAGGAAGTGCCCGCCTGTCTGCAATCTCAATTTTTAAAGGCAAAAGCCACAAGGTTACATCATTTAGTGGTGCTAGCATGGATACAATTCTGATTGGCTCGCTTCTAGGGACTTCTAGAAATTACTTCTAAGGGAGTGGTTG